CTCTGCCTCCCAAGTGCTGGGATTAAAGGCGTGCGCCACCACCGCCCGGCTTTGTTTTGTTTTTCAAGACAGGGTTTCTCTGTGTAGCTTTGGAGCCTGTCCTGGATCTCACTCTATAGATCAGGCTGTCCTTGAACTCACAGAGATCTGCCTCTGCCTCTGCCTCTGCCTCCCAAGTGCTGGGATTAAAGGCGTGCCACCACAGCCCAGCCTGGTGATTGGTTATTAAAAGAAACAAGGCATTTGCCTTGTGTCTCAGTTATAATTCAATGCCAGCTGATGAGGGAAAGCACTTTACAGAAGAATGCTGACTAGCTTCAAATATGGAATGGAGGGCTCAGATGATCAGGGTTTTCTATGAAATAATTCAAATGTGGATCAGGAATGGATACTAAAACTGATTTATATAATTTGTGAAAATACTCCATGTTCTCCAAATCTGGTGTTATTGTCTCCCAAATTGCTTGCTAGTCACAAAAAAGAAAAACACAGTCATAAGCAGAGCACTCGCTACCTTCAGCCAGTCACCAAGCCAGTGCCATTGATTGTGCTAAAACCTACCACCACTGGAGATCCTGGTCAGCCCAACATGACAGACATACAAGGTTGGTTAGAGTTGACTGAAGTATTGAACCGGTGGGTCACAATCTTCCCCACATCTTAAAATTGGAGGATACTTTTGAAATTGCCAAGTCCCATGCTTCTTTCGGAACCTTTTCAAGTATGAGCCAAGCAACAGTGTATTTTCTTTCTTTTAAATAATTTTCTCTTTGCATCTTTTTAAAAGAGACTTTCTTTTTTATTGCTTGTGTACTCAAGAAGACCAGAGGAGGGTGTGAGGTCCCTTGGAGCTGGAGTTACAGTTGTTTGTGAGACCCCAGATGTGGGTACAGGGGATTGAACTCCAGTCCTCTGGAACAGCAGCAAGTGCACTTAACCAATAAGCCATCTCTGCCACACCTGTCTCATCTCCTAAGACTTAAAAAGTTAAAAAAGAAAAAACATAGATGAAAACCTCAGCGTGCATACTAGGACGGTAGGGTAAGTTAGCATAGTTACTGGGTAGGTGTACTGCATAGGTTTGTGTCAAGATGTACACCAAATCCTAGTAATGACTTGTCCAGAAACTCCTACTTTCTTCCCATCCACTTATCTAGTTGTTTTGTAGTGGTTCTGAGGTTTCTATTGGTTTGTGAATTGAACTTAAAACTGTGTTTACGTTCCTGGTTTCTGCCACAAATGAGGTAGGATTCACCACAGGAGTCTCCAGGAATTCGGGCCATTACCAATGTTCTACTGTGTTTGTTTTATGAATGTTTTTATTAGTGTGTGGCAGTTGTACAAAATAATGGACATCATGTTCATACATGCATGTAACATATTCTGATTATATTCATCCCCTGTTATACTCCCCTGTCCATCACACATATTCTGCTCGATCCCATTCCTTTTCTTAATATTTCCTCTTCTAGTTACACGCATTTTTTTTTAGGGTCCACATATGAGAGAAAAAATGCAGCTTTTTGTGTCTCACTTATTCCTCTTGGTTGTGTTAGACTCCTGCTGCTGTGATAAATAAGCCCAAATAGGAAGAACTTATCCAGCTTATGATTCCAGTTCACCGTGGTGGTGGTGGGGAGCTCACTTCCTGGCATCCAAGAGAAAGCCTGGGGGAGAAAACCTGTACTCTAATAATACAGTTGTCATGGTTATCTTAGTCAGGGTTATCATTGTTGTGGTGAGACACCGTGACTCAAAACAACTTGGGGAGGAAAGGGGTTGTTTGACTTACAGGTTACAGCCCAGTGTCAAAGGAAGTCAAGGCAGGGACTTGGAGGCCGGAACATGGAAAGCTGGCTTGCTGTTCAGTTTGCTTTCTTCCTTCTCTTCCCTTCCCTCCCCTCCCCCATCTTTTTTTTTTTTTTTTTTTTTTTTTTTTTTTTTTTTAAGTACAAGGTCTCACTATGTATCTCTAGGTGTCTTGAAACTGAAACTCACTGTGTAGACCAGGTTGGCCTCGAACTCACAGAGGTCCTTCCTCCTCTGCCTCCTGAGTACTGGAATAATAAGCATGTGCCACCGGCCCAGTTTGCTTTCTTACACAATCCAGGGCCACCTGCCCAGGATTGGCACTGTCTGTAGTGGGCTGGGCTTTCCCACATGGAACATTAATCAAGAAAATGCTCCCACAGATAGGCCCAAGCCCAGCCTAATGGAGACAATTCTTCAGCCGAGGTCACCTCTTCACCAATTTGTGTCAAGTTGACAAAAACTCCCAGCATGCTGTTCCAGATTGAAATGGACTTGAAAGTCAAACCAAACATAGTGAGTGTACAAATTCTGACTCAGTACTACCTTCAAAACTGCTATAAACACACTGGGGGTAGTCTAATTATAAGCTGTCATTAATCACCACTGTCTTTTGAGTTTATTTCTTGCTCATTACTGCTTTTTCTTCAGGGAGGCATTTTGATCCCCAGATTGTCTCAATACAAAATCCAGGAAGTGATTTGAGAAGTTTCACCACTGGGTGGTGCAGCATCTTTTTTGTTGTTGTTGTTCATTATTTTTTCTATTTTTGTCAGTTTCATACACATATGTTGTAGAATATTATTTTAAGGTTTGTTACTTTTGTTTGTGTTGCATTTGTTTAACTCCGTGAAGCTGTGTTACTGTGCCTGTCTAACACACCTGATGGTCTAATAAACTGAATGGCCAATAGCGGGGCAGGAGAAAGGATAGGCGGGGCTGGCAGGCAGAAAGAATATACAGAAGGAAAAGAGAGATGGAGGAGTGAAAAGAGGAAAAGTAGCCAGAGAAGGAAGAGCACTCCAGGGGCCAGCCACCCAGCTACGCAGCAAGCCACTTAAGAGTAAGATTTACAGAAGCAAGAGAACGGGAAAAGCCCAGAGGTAAAAAGTAGATAGGATAAGTTAAGTTAAGGAAAGCTGGCAAGA